AAGCAGACCAGTCGTCTTGTGTAGAGTGCCAGGAACAGGTAAGTTCTCCTCCTGCAACGTGAATGACAGGCGTCTGAGTGACGAAGGCCAGTTCCCCATGAAAAGGTGAGTCCTACTCCTACAGGATGCGAATGAGTTGAATTATTGACGTTGGACAAATAACCAAGAAAGGACCATTTTTATTCCTTCATTAGGCATTTTTCTACTTCTGCAAAACCCATGAGAGTGGATGAGTGACTGTTGGCTGATCACCAGGAAAAGGTGAGTTTTACACCTACAGTGGAGACGACAGGGAGACGAATGGTCTTGTGTAGAGCGCCAGGAACAGGTAAGTTCACCTCCTCCAATGTGAATGACAGGCGTCTGAGTGACCTAGGCCAGTTCCCCATGAAAAGGTGAGTTCTACTCCTACAGGATGCGAATGAGTTGAATTAATGATGTTGGACTAATAACCAAAAAAGGACAATTTTTACTCCTTCATTAGGCGTTTTCTACTTCTGCAAAAGCCATGAGAGTGGAGGAGTGACATTTCGCTGATCACCAGGTAAAGGTGAGTTTTACATCTACAGTGGAGACAACAGGGAGATGAATGGTCTTGCGTAGAGCGCCAGGAACAGGTAAGTTCTCTTCCTGCTATACGGATCACAGGCATCTGAGTAACCGAGGCCATTTTTCCATGAAACGGTGAGTTCTACTCCTGAAAGATGCGAACAAGTTGAATTAATGATGTGAACCAATAACAAAAAAAGGAAAATATTTATTCCTTCATTAGGCGTTTTTCTGCTTCTGCAAAAACCCAAGACAGTGGATGAGTGACTGCATGCTGATCACCAGCAAAAGGTGAGTTTTAAGCTTCCAGTGGAGACGACAGGGAGACAAATGGTCTTGTGTAGAGTGCCAGGAACAGGTAAGTTCTCCTCCTGCAATACGGATCACAGGTGTCTGAGTGACCTAGGCCAGTTCCACATGAAAAGGTGAGTTCTACTCCTACAGGATGCGAATGAGTTGAATTAATGATGTTGGACAAATAACCAAGAAAGGACAATTTTTATTCCTTCATTAAGCGTTTTTCTACTTCTGCAAAAACCAAGACAGTGGATGAGTAACTGCGTGCTGATCACCAGGAAAAGGTGAGTTTTACACCTACAGTGGAGAAGACAGGCAGACGAGTCGTCTTGTGTAGAGTGCCAGGAACAGGTAAGTTCTCCTCCTGCAACGTGAATGACAGGCGTCTGAGTGACCTAGGCCAGTTCCCCATGAAAAGGTGAGTTCTATTCCTGCAGGATGCGAATGAGTTGAATGAATGATGTTGGACAAATAACCAAGAAAGGACAATTTTTATTATTCCTTCATTAGGCATTCTACTTCTACTTCTGCAAAATCCATGACAGGGATGAGTGACTGTGGGCAGATCACCTGGAGTAGGTGAATTGAATGCCTACAGTGGAGACGAAAGGCAGCTGAGTGGTCTTGCGTAGAGAGCACCAGGAACAGGTAAGTTCTCCTCCTGCTATACGGATCACAGGCATCTGAGTGACCCAGGCCAGTTCCCCATGAAAAGGTAAATTCTACTCCTAGAAGATGCAAACGAGTTGAATTAAATGACGTTGGACAAATAACCAAGAAAGGACAATTTTTATTCCTTCATTAAGCGTTTTTCTACTTCTTCAAAAACCAAGACAGTGGATGAGTGACTGCGTGCTGATCACCAGGAAAAGGTGAGTTTTACACCTACAGTGGAGAAGACAAGCAGACGAGTCGTCTTGTGTAGAGTGCCAGGAACAGGTAAGTTTCTCCTCCTGCAACGTGAATGACAGGCGTCTGAGTGACGAAGGCCAGTTCCCCATGAAAAGGTGAGTCCTACTCCTACAGGATGCGAATGAGTTGAATTATTGACGTTGGACAAATAACCAAGAAAGGACATTTTTATTCCTTCATTAGGCATTTTTCTACTTCTGCAAAACCCATGAGAGTGGATGAGTGACTGTTGGCTGATCACCAGGAAAAGGTGAGTTTTACACCTACAGTGGAGACGACAGGGAGACGAATGGTCTTGTGTAGAGCGCAGGAACAGGTAAGTTCACCTCCTCCAATGTGAATGACAGGCGTCTGAGTGACCTAGGCCAGTTCCCCATGAAAAGGTGAGTTCTACTCCTACAGGATGCGAATGAGTTGAATTAACGATGTTGGACTAATAACCAAAAAAGGACAATTTTTACTCCTTCATTAGGCGTTTTTCTACTTCTGCAAAAGCCATGAGAGTGGAGGAGTGACATTTCGCTGATCACCAGGTAAAGGTGAGTTTTACATCTACAGTGGAGACAACAGGGAGATGAATGGTCTTGCGTAGAGCGCCAGGAACAGGTAAGTTCTCTTCCTGCTATACGGATCACAGGCATCTGAGTAACCGAGGCCATTTTTCCATGAAACGGTGAGTTCTACTCCTGAAAGATGCGAACAAGTTGAATTAATGATGTGGAACCAATAACAAAAAAAGGAAATATTTATTCCTTCATTAGGCGTTTTTCTGCTTCTGCAAAAACCAAGACAGTGGATGAGTGACTGCATGCTGATCACCAGCAAAAGGTGAGTTTAAGCTTCCAGTGGAGACGACAGGGAGACAAATGGTCTTGTGTAGAGTGCCAGGAACAGGTAAGTTCTCCTCCTGCAATACGGATCACAGGTGTCTGAGTGACCTAGGCCATTTCCACATGAAAAGGTGAGTTCTACTCCTACAGGATGCGAATGAGTTGAATTAATGATGTTGGACAAATAACCAAGAAAGGACAATTTTTTATTCCTTCATTAAGCGTTTTTCTACTTCTGCAAAAACCAAGACAGTGGATGAGTAACTGCGTGCTGATCACCAGGAAAAGGTGAGTTTTTACACCTACAGTGGAGAAGACAGGCAGACGAGTCGTCTTGTGTAGAGTGCCAGGAACAGGTAAGTTCTCCTCCTGCAACGTGAATGACAGGCGTCTGAGTGACCTAGGCCAGTTCCCCATGAAAAGGTGAGTTCTATCCTGCAGGATGCGAATGAGTTGAATGAATGATGTTGGACAAATAACCAAGAAAGGACAATTTTTATTCCTTCATTAGGCATTCTACTTCTACTTCTGCAAAATCCATGACAGGGGATGAGTGACTGTGGGCAGATCACCTGGAGTAGGTGAATTGAATGCCTACAGTGGAGACGAAAGGCAGCTGAGTGTGTCTTGCGTAGAGCACCAGGAACAGGTAAGTTCTCCTCCTGCTATACGGATCACAGGCATCTGAGTGACCCAGGCCAGTTCCCCATGAAAAGGTAAATTCTACTCCTAGAAGATGCAAACGAGTTGAATTAATGACGTTGGACAAATAACCAAGAAAGGACAATTTTTATTCCTTCATTAAGCGTTTTTCTACTTCTTCAAAAACCAAGACAGTGGATGAGTGACTGCGTGCTGATCACCAGGAAAAGGTGAGTTTTACACCTACAGTGGAGAAGACAAGCAGACGAGTCGTCTTGTGTAGAGTGCCAGGAACAGGTAATTCTCCTCCTGCAACGTGAATGACAGGCGTCTGAGTGACGAAGGCCAGTTCCCCATGAAAAGGTGAGTCCTACTCCTACAGGATGCGAATGAGTTGAATTATTGACGTTGGACAAATAACCAAGAAAGGACAATTTTTATTCCTTCATTAGGCATTTTTCTACTTCTGCAAAACCCATGAGAGTGGATGAGTGACTGTTGGCTGATCACCAGGAAAAGGTGAGTTTTACACCTACAGTGGAGACGACAGGGAGACGAATGGTCTTGTGTAGAGCGCCAGGAACAGGTAAGTTCACCTCCTCCAATGTGAATGACAGGCGTCTGAGTGACCTAGGCCAGTTCCCCATGAAAAGGTGAGTTCTACTCCTACAGGATGCGAATGAGTTGAATTAATGATGTTGGACTAATAACCAAAAAAGGACAATTTTTACTCCTTCATTAGGCATTTTTCTACTTCTGCAAAAGCCATGAGAGTGGAGGAGTGACATTTCGCTGATCACCAGGTAAAGGTGAGTTTTACATCTACAGTGGAGACAACAGGGAGATGAATGGTCTTGCGTAGAGCGCCAGGAACAGGTAAGTTCTCTTCCTGCTATACGGATCACAGGCATCTGAGTAACCGAGGCCATTTTTTCCATGAAACGGTGAGTTCTACTCCTGAAAGATGCGAACAAGTTGAATTAATGATGTGGACCAATAACAAAAAAAGGAAAATATTTATTCCTTCATTAGGCGTTTTTCTGCTTCTGCAAAAACCAAGACAGTGGATGAGTGACTGCATGCTGATCACCAGCAAAAGGTGAGTTTTAAGCTTCCAGTGGAGACGACAGGGAGACGAATGGTCTTGCGTAAAGCGCCAGGAACAGGTAAGTTCTCCTCCTGCTATACGGATCACAGGAGTCTGAGTAACCGAGGCCAGTTCCCCATGAAACGGTGAGTTCTACTCCTAAAAGATGCGAACAAGTTGAATTAATGATGTTGGACTAATAACAAAAAAAGGAAAATATTTATTCCTTCATTAGACTTTTTTCTGCTTGTGCAAAAACCAAGACAGTTGATGAGTGACTGTGGGCTGATCATCAGGAAAAGGTGAGTTTTACATCTACAGTGGAGACCACAGGGAGATGAGTGGTCTTGCCTAGAGCGCCAGGAAAAGATAAGTCCTCCTCCTGCAATACGAACACAGTTGTCTGAGTGACTTAGTCCAGTTCCACATGAAAAGGTGAGTTCTACTGCTACAGGATGCGAATGAGTTGAATTAACTAAAAAATAACCAAGAAAGGACAATTTTTATTCCTTCATTAGGCATTTTTCTTCTACTTCTGCAAAACCCATGACAGTGGATGAGTGACTGTGGGCTGATCACCAGGAAAAGGTGAGTTTTAAGGTTCCAGTGGAGAAGACAGGCAGACCAGTCGTCTTGTGTAGAGTGCCAGGAACAGGTAAGTTTCTCCTCCTGCAATGGAATGACAGGCATCTGAGTGACCCAGGCCAGTTCCCTCTGAAATAGGTGAGTTCTACTCCTAAAAGATGCGAACAAGTTGAATTAATGATGTTGGACCAACAACTATAAGGACAATTATATTCCTTCATTAGGCGTTTTTCTACTTGTGCAAAAACCAAGACAGTGGATGAGTGACGATGGGCTGATCACCAGGAACAGGTAACTTCTCCTCCTGCTATACGGATCACAGGAGTCTGAGTAACCGAGGCCAGTTCTCCATGAAACGGTGAGTTCTACTCCTAAAAGATGCGAACAAGTTGAATTAATGATGTTGGACCAACAACTATAAGGACAATTATTATTCCTTCATTAGGTGTTTTTCTGCTTGTGCAAAAACCAAGACAGTGGATGCGTGACTGCGTGCTGATCACCAGGAAAACATGAGTTTTAAGCTTCCAGTGGAGACGACAGGGAGCCGAGTGGTCTTGTGTAGAGCGACAGGAATAGGTAAATTCTAATCCTGTAATGTGAATGACAGACATCTGAGGGACCTGGGCCAGTTCCCATGAAAAGGTGAGTTCTACTCCTACAAGATGTGAATGAGTTGAATTAATGATGTTGGACAAACAACCAAAAAAGGACAATTTTTATTCCTTCATTAGGCATTCTTCTTCTTCTGCAAAACCCAATACAGTGGATGAGTGACTGCGCGCTGATCACCAGGAAAAGGTGAGTTTTAAGCTTCCAGTGGAGACGACAGGGAGACGAGTCGTCTTGTGTAGAGCCACAGGAATAGGTAAGTTCTAATCCTGTAATGTGAAGTACAGGCATCTGAGTGACCCAGGCCAGTTCCCCATGAAAAGGTGAGTTCTACTCCTACAAGATGCGAATGAGTTGAATGAATGATGTTGGACAAACAACCAAGAAAGGACAATTTTTATTCCTTCCTTAGGAAAGCTTCTACTTCTGCAAAAACTAAGACAATGGATGAGTGACTGTGTGCTGATCACCAGAAAAAGGTGAGTTTTACGCCTGAAGTGGAGACAACAGGCAGACGAGTGGTCCGCATAGAGTTCCAGGAACAGGTTAGTTCTCCTCCTGCAATGTGAATTTCAAGCGTCTGAGTGACCCAGGGCCAGTTCCCCATGAAAAGGTGAGATCTACTCCTGCAAGATGGGAATGAGTTGAATTAATGATGTTGTACCAATAACCAAGAAAGGACAATTTTCATTCCTTCATTAGGAAAGCTTCTACTTCTGCAAAAACTAAGACAATGGATGAGTGACTGTGTGCTGATCACCAGGAAAAGGTGAGTTTTACGCCTGAAGTGGAGCAACAGGCAGATGAGTGGCCTTGAGTAGAGCGCCAGGAACAGGTAAGTTCACCTCCTGCAATGTTAATGACGGGCGTCTGAGTGACCTAGGCCAGTTTCCCATGAAAAAGGTGAGTTGTACTCCTAAAAGATGCGAATGAGTTGAATTAATGATGTTGGACCAACAACTTAGAAAGGACAATTATTATTCCTTCATTAGGTGTTTTTCTACTTCTGCAAAAACCAAGACGGTGGATGAGTGACTGTGTGCTGATCACCAGGAAAAGGTGAGTTTTTAGCTTTCAGTGAAGAAGACAGACAGACGAGTGGTCTTGTATAGAGCGCCAGGAACAGGTAAGTTCTCCTCCTGCAATGTGAATGACAAGCATCTGCGTGACCCAGGCCAGTTCCCCCATGAAAAGGTGAGTTCTAGTCCTCAAGATGTGAATGAGTTGAATTAATGATGTTGGACCAATAACCAAGAAAGGACAATTTTTATTCCTTCATTAGGCATTTTTCTACTTCTGTAAAACAGTGGATAAGTAATTGTGGGCTGATCACCAGGAAAAGGTGAGTTTTAAGCTTCCAGTGGAGACTACAGGCAGATAGGTGGTCTTGTGTAGAGAGCCAGGAATAGGTAAGTTCTCCTCCTGTAATACTGATGAGAGGCGTCTGAGTTATTCAGGTGTTCTGCCCCAGCTCCGGATTTCCGAGGATATTGACACACATCAACGGTCTTTATCTAATTTATTAAGTAGCAAGAATAAACAAACCGGCAAAGGTTGTTAACCAGCCTAGAAAATAAGATATGATAAACCAAAATATTCTGATAATAACATGAGTTGTTTCCAGCAAGAGCGCACTAGCTTCGTGTGACTTAAATAGGCCAAGGGAGTGGCCAATTATCCACAAGCCCTACTCTCGAGTAGACCTCCTCCTCCTGAGTAGCCACTCCTGCCTTTTGGCAGCCCTGCATGCTCGAGCATTGAGGAGAGGCTCCTCCACTTCGCTCTCTCCACTTGAAGGAGCCTCTGGAGGTTCTGAAGGCCATGGCTGAGTCCTTGCCTCTGGCACCACATCCTCTTCAGCCTCCTCGCTGTCCGACGCGAGCGCCAGCTGCGCAGGCTGCTGGCGCAACCCCACACCAGCCTCTTCGTCGTCGGGATCAGCCACGATCCGCGCAGTCCGCTGGTGGGCCACAACACTATCCTTCACCTCAGGGCCCTTCCCCCGAATCTGTTGATCTGGATGTGGTCGGGATGGGAACTGCTCGTGGAAGGCGCAAACCAGGTCCTGAGCATGAACAGAGGTCGCATCCTCCCATGTAAAATCCTCCGGCCCATTACCCTTCCACTCGATGAGGTATTGAAACTGACCCTTCAACCACCAAGAGTCTTGAATACTCGCTACCTCGTACTCTGGCGATCCCTCCCTGTCATGGGAAGCGGGTGGAGGATGGTCCAGTTGACTGAGCAGACAAGTAGACCGTTCAGGAATCAGGAGGGATCGATGAAACACTGGGTGGATTGTCAAAGACCGAGGCAGGGTCAGGCGATAGGCCAGAGGATTGATGACCGCCTCTACCAGGAAAGGTCCAATGAACCGATTTTCCAGTTTTCTCCCTGGCCAGTCTGAGGGGAGATGCTTCGTTGACAACCACACGTGATCCCCAACAGCCAACGGGGGTGTGGTTCACCGAGAGTGGTCTGCGACCCTTTTGTAATCATCCTTAGCCTTGTTGAGGTACTGCTTCATCAGCTGATTCATGGCCTGGAGCTCCGCCAAGAAATTATCCGCTACTGGAACCGGGGAGTCCAGGGTTGTGAGCGGGAAGAAGTGCGGGTGATAGTCCAGGTTGGCTAGGAAAGGGGTGGTCTTGGTGGAGGTGTGCTGGGAATTATTGAACGCAAACTCCGCGACTGCTAGGTACTCTGTCCAATTTTCTTATTGTTGATTGACAAAGCAGCGCAGGTATTGCTTTAAGATCCCAATGACCTTTTCAGTCCTGCCATCAGTTTCGTTTTGATGAGCCGACGATAAGCAGATCTTAACGTCCAGGGCCAACATCACCCCTTTCCAGAACTGGGTGGAGAACTGAGTCCCTCTGTCCAACACTACCCGATCCGGTAGTCCATGGAGCCGGAAAACATGCTGGATGAACATGTGAGCGGTGGCGCGAGCTGTCAGCATTCCCCGGCAGGGTAAGAAGTGCGCCATCTTCGTTAACATGTCCACCACCACGAACACCATCGTGAAACCCGAGGACGGGGGCAAGTCCATGAGAAAGTCCATCGAGATGACACCCCAAGGTCTCTAGGGGGTCGGCAAAGGCTGAAGTCGTCCTGGGGGAGTGCCCATGTCCGACAACGAATGCAAGAGGTCACATAGGATTGCACATCATGATGGAGACGAGGCCACCAGAAAGTCCGCAACACCAAATTCAGAGTCTTGAACAAACCGAAATGCCCCGCCGCAGGGTTGTCATGGCACTGGGACAAAATGAGACTAAGCGGCCCCGATGAAACATAAAGCCTCTCCCGATACCTCAAGAGGTCATCGGTAAACGTCCAGGGAGAGTTGGGTCCTACCTCCTGCTTCCGCCAGTCGACGAAGGCGTCCTGCCTCTGCGCCTCCCGGATCTGACCCCGTAAATTGACAGGTTCCTAGACGGCAGCGAACAACTCGACGGGAAGAATCGTCCGAGGTGGAAGCGGGTCCTTGGTTTGGGCGTAGTCGGGCTTCCTGGAGAACGCATCTGCCTGTTGATTGTGCCCACTCGGGATGTAGGTAACTTTAAAATTAAAATGGGTAAAGAAGAAGGACCACCGAATCTGGCGTTGATTGAGCTTCCGTGCGGTCTGCAGAAACTCCAGATTCTTGTGGTCTGTCCGGACTTCCACCTGATGTCGGGCCCCCTCGAGGTAGTGTCTCCAGGTCTCAAACGCGGTCTTGATGGCCAGGAGCTCTTTTTCCCAGATGGTATAGTTGCGCTCGGAAGGATTCAACTTCTGGGAGTAGTAAGCGCATGGGAAAAGAGTTCCACCATCCACGCGAGCCTGGAGTAACACCGCACTGACTGCAATATCCGACGCGTCTGTCTCGACCACAAATGGACGCTGCGGGTCAGGATGCTTGAGGATTGGCTTGGACATGAAGGCCTGCTTTAAGGTCAGGAACGCCTGCTGATTAAGCAATATGAATCAGAACTATTCAGATAACTGTTGGAGAGGTTATGGGGAAAAAGGAACGTATTTACATATGTGGTGGGATTGTAAATTTGTGCAACAATTGTGGAAGATGATGTTTAAGGAGATTGAAGAAATTGTAGGAATAAAGGTAGAAGAGGCACGAAAGGTAGCATTACTCTCACTATTGGAAGATATAAAGTGTAAAAAAGACTAAAGAGTTGATAACAAATTTGTTGACCGCAGCAAGGTTAATGATTTCTAGGAACTGGAAGATATGAGGTGATTGTTGTTTGGAAGAATGGTATAAGGAAGTATGGGATATTGCCATAAATGATAAACTGACTTGTAATATTAAAGTAAGGAGGGGCATAATGAAAGTAAATGAATTCAATGGAATCTGGAAACAGTTCCTAATATATGTGTTTTCGGGTGGAAGGGGGATACCACCACCAGAAGAAGCTTTAAGATTTTGGAAGCAGGAATGATCCCAAGGGGTGCAGGAGCACTTGTTGATTGTTTGTATTGTGTATATTGTTATATATTATATTGTCGAGTCCTACCGGAGCTCGCCATCAATGGAGGGTGTGGGAGGAAAAGGAGTGGAGATAAGCAGCCGCAGCGAACACACAAATAGTTCCTGGATAGCAGCATTCAGGGTGATGATTGATGACGTTGCTGGGCCTCTCCGATTCTGCTGTCCTCGCTGCTCTGGTGCTCGCAGCTGTTACTGTTAAGGGAGTGGGGGGTGCTTGATTGATAATCACCGGATGTATGTTTAAGGGGCTGAGTTTTTGTTAAATAGCACTGTGGTGTGATTACACCCAGCGCTGACTTTGAACCAAAACACCGACTTGTACTTTACTTTTGACTGCAAGCTTATCATTGCCAAAGTAAACCCTGATTCTCTGTGCGTTACTGGTGATTATTTCCTATCGCAGTTCTGAACGAACGACAAGCCGAGATATATATTATGATTTATGTATGTTAATAAAATCAATAAAAATTATTTTTTTTTAAAAAAAGGAACGCTCGCTGCTCGGGTCGCCCCACAGGAATGGGACTTTCTTTTGCAGGAGTCGGGTGAGGGGCGCGGTCAGAGTGGCGAATCCGGGGATGAAAGTCCGGTAATAGTTGGCAAAGCCTAGGAGTCACTGAACATCTTTCACCCGATTGGGAGGTTGCCAACTTCTCAATGCCTCGACCTTGCTCCGATCCATTGCGATGCCCTCGGGAGAAATGCGATGGCCCAAGAGGTCGACTGGAGGAACTGGCACTTCTCCAGCTTGGCGTACAACTGGTGGTCATGGTGGTCACAGAGCAAGACCAGACGGAAATGTTGGAGATGACTTTTCCTGAATATGGAGAAAATCAGGATGCCGTCGAGGTACACCACCACGAACTGGTCCAAAAGATCCCAGAAAATATCGTTCATAAAATTCTGGAAGATAGCGGGAACGTTGGTTAGTCCAAACGGAATGACCGTATATTCAAAGTGGCCATACCTGGTGCTGAACGCTGTCTTCCACTGATCCCCTTCTCGGACCTGAACCAGATTGTAGGCGCCATGCAGGTCCAGCTTGGTAAACACGGTAGCCCTCTGGAGTCTCTCTAAAAGTTCAGGGATCAAGGGTAGAGGGTACTGGTTCCGCACCATAATGGCATTCAGTTTCCGGTAGTCACAGCACAGACGCAAGTCTCCAGTTTTCTTCTTGACGAAGAGGACCGGAGCAGACAAGGGCTGGATAAAACTCCGGGCCAGGTTTTTGTCCACGAATTCCCTTAATGCCACCAGTTCAGGGTCTGACATCGAGTACAACCTCCCCACAGGGAGCGGTGCATCCGGGATTAAGTCGATGGGACAATCGTACGGCCGGTGTGGGGGCAACTGGTCCGCCTCTTTTTCGCTAAAGACGTCCGCAAAGTCCAAAAGTTCGTCCGGCAAAGAGACCGCAAGTGGACCCTGCACCTGGCCTGTGCACACTTGGCGAGTATGATCCACACACTGCAGGCTCAGGAACGACAAGAAATTCTGGGACCAAAGAACGTGTGGGTCATGAATCCGAAGCCAAGCCAGGCCCAAAATTAAAGGGAAATGCAGTCCGGATGTGACGTAAAATTGGATCGCCTCCTCATGCCTACCGATGGTCAGGCACATGGGCTAAGTGGCGGCCTTAATTGGCCCGGACAGAAGCACCCGACCATGGATGGTCTCCATGACCATGGGAGGATCCACGGGACACAGGGGAACAGCAAAGTGAGTGGCGAACGCCTCATCCAATTAAGTTGGTCGTCGCACCGGAGTCCCATGAGCTGGGATCCCTTGGGGGTTGTCGGCAAGGAAGATCTTAGTGTTGAGAATCAAATGGCGAGGGGGTCCAGAGTCCACTTCTGCAGGGCGTGAGTCTGTGTTGGTACATGCCCGACCCCAGGTCTCCCCTAGATCGGGCTCCGCCCATTTCCCGACAGGTTAAGCGGGGCTGTGGTATGGGACCAGGAGCCGGCGGGCTATGTCGCTTCTTGGCGCAAGAGGCAGTGAAGTGTCCAGGCTCCTCACAATATAAACACAACCCCCCTGCCCAGCATCTGTCCTTCTCAGCTCTGGACAGGCGGGGTCTGGCTGCACCGATCTCCATGGGCTCCTCCCTTGGAGCTGGAGCTTCAGATACAACTGGGCCACACAGGGTTCCGGAGGGGTACGACATGAGGGCCGATGCTGTAACCTCGCATCGATCCTGAGGCACAGGCGACACAGCTCGTTCAGAGTTGGAGGAATGTCCACTCTGGCCAACTCGTCCTGCAACGCGTCTGACAAACCCTCATGGAAGGCATCCATATTTGCTGCCTCGTTCCATGCTGAGTCCTGGCTTATCAAACGGAACTCACTGATGTGGCAGCTGGCCTTGCTTCAAGGCCTTCAGGCATCTGGAGGAGGTTTGAGCTTTAATACAGTCCTCATACATCAGCCGCAGGTGCTCACAAAACCCCCCAAAATCATTGAGCAACGGGCTGTTCTGAACCAACAAGGGCGGGGCCCAACAAGCTGCCGAGCCGGATAGCAAGCTGATAATAAACCTGACTTTATCTCTGTCCTGTGAAAAGTCCTCAGCTCGTAAGCTCATAAACAGATGGTATTGTCCAAAGAAAGCTGGAAACATTTCCACATTACCAGCAAATTTATCAGGCACAGTTACTGAGCAGCTTCTCCGAGGAGGTGGAGCAGGCAGAGGAGGTGGCAGAGAAGAAGCCATTTGGCTTTGAAGCTGAGCCATCTGAGCAGCCATCAAAGTTAACTGTTGCCGAAGCTACACATTCTCTTCATACAGCTCCTCCATCGTCTTCAAAGCTGTGGTGTGTGTATTTGTTGGCTGGAAACAAACTGTTCTGCCCCAGCTCCGGATTTCCGAGGATATTGACACACACTAATGGTCCTTATCAAATTTATTAAGTAGCAAGAATAAAGAAGACCGGCAAAGGTTGGCAATCAGCCCTGAAAACAAGATATGATAAGCCAAATACTGTGATAATAATACGAGTTGTTTCCAGCAAGAACGCACTAGCTGCGTGCAACTTAAATAGACTAAAGGAGTGGCCAATTATCCACAAGCCCTACTCTCGAGTAGACCTCCTCCTCCTGAGTAGCCACTCCTGCCTTTTGGCAGCCCTGCATACTCGAGCATTGAGGAGAGGCTCCTCCACTTCACTCTCTCCACTTGAAGGAGCCTCTGGAGGTTCTGAAGGCCCTGGCTGAGCCTCTGCCTCTGGCAAACATCCTCTTCAGCCTCCTCGCTGTCCAACGCGTGAGCCGGCAAGGCAGGCTGCTGGCGCAACCCTGCACCAGATTCCTCGTCGTCAGGATTAGCCACAATCCGTGTAGGCTGCTGGCGGGCCACAACACCAGGCCAGTTCCACACAAAAAGGTGAGTTCTACTCCTACAAGATGCGAACGAGTTGAATTAATGATGTTGGACCAATAACTAAGAAAGGACAATTTTTATTCCTTCATTAGGCATTCTTCCTCTACTTCTGCAAAACCCATGACAGTGGATGAGTGACTGTGGGCTGATCACCAGGAAAAGGTGAGTTTTACGCCTACAGTGGAGACAACAGGGAGACGAGTGGTCTTGTGTAGAGCGCCAGGAACAGGAAAGTTCACCTCCTGCAATGTGAATTACAGGTGTCTGAGTGACCTAGGCCAGTTCCCCATGAAAAGGTGAGTTCTCCTTTCGAGCCCTGCCGGGACTCATCACATATTAGAGGGATGCGGGAAGCACGTTCACCGAAAATACCTACAATGACACCCGGGAGGGTGGGAGGTGATCTGTGTGGCGGAAGACAGTTTTGAGGCATCGGGAGGCAGGAAAAGCTGAGTTTTACACGTACAGTGGAGACGACAGGCAGATGAGTGGTCTTGCATAGAGCGCCAGGAACAGGTAAGTTCTCCTCCTGCAATGTGAATGACAGGCGTTTGAGTGACCCAGGCCAGTTCCCCACGAAAAGGTGAGTTCTAATCCTACAAGATGCGAATGAGTTGAATTAATGATGTTGGATCAATAACTAAGAAAGGACAATTTTTATTCCTTCATTAGGCATTATTCTTCTTTTTTTGCAAAACCCATGACAGTGCATGAGTGACTGTGGGCTGATCACCAGGAAAAGGTGAGATTTACGTCTACAGTGGAGATGACAGGTAACTGATTGATCTTGGGTAGAGCGTCAGGAACAGGTAAGTTCTCTTCCTGCAATGTGAATGACAGGCGTCTGAGTGACCTAGGCCAGTTTCCCAAGAAAAGATGAGTTCTACTCCTAAAAGATGCAAACGAGTTGAATTAATGATGTTGGACCAATAACGAAGAAAGGACAATTTTTATTCCTTCATTAGGCATTCTTCTTCTACTTCTGGAAATCCGATGACAGTGGATGAGTGACTGTGGGCTGATCACCAGGACAAGGTGAGTTATATGCCTGCAGTGGAGACGACAGGCAGATGAGTGGTCTTGCGTAGAGCGCCAGGAACAGGTAAGTTCTCCTCCTGCAATGTGAATGACAGGCGTTTGAGTGACCCAGGCCAGTTCCCCACGAAAAGGTGAGTTCTAATCCTACAAGATGCGAATGAGTTGAATTAATGATGTTGGATCAATAACTAAGAAAGGACAATTTTTATTCCTTCATTAGGCGTTATTCTTCTTTTTTTGCAAAACCCATGACAGTGCATGAGTGACTGTGGACTGATCACCAGGAAAAGGTGAGATTTACGTCTACAGTGGAGACGACAGGCAGATGAGTGGTCTTGCGTAGAGCGCCAGGAACAGGAAAGTTTACCTCCTGCAATGTGAATGACAGGTGTCTGAGTGACCTAGGCCAGTTCCCCACGAAAAGGTGAGTTCTCCTTTCGAGCCCCTGCCAGGACTCATCACATATTGGAGGGATGCGGGAAGCACATTCACCGAAAATACCTACAATGACACCCGGGAGGGTGGGAGGTGATCTGTGTGGCGGAAGACAGTTTCGAGGCATCGTGAGGCAGGAAAAGGTGAGTTTTACACGTACAGTGGAGACGACAGGCAGACGAGTGGTCTTGCATAGAGCACCAGGAACAAGTAAGTCCACCTCCTGCAATGTGAATGACAGGCGTCTGAGTGACCTAGGCCAGTTCCCCACGAAAAGGTGAGTTCTACTCCTACAGGATGCGAATGAGTTGAATTAATGATGTGGACCAATAACGAAGAAAGGGCAATTTTTATTCCTTCATTAGGCATTCTTCTTCTATTTCTGCAAAACCCATGACAGTGGATGACTGACTGTGGGCTGATCACCAGGAAATGGTGAGTTTTATGCCTACAGTGGAGATGACAGGTAACTGATTGATCTTGGGTAGAGCGTCAGGAACAGGTAAGTTCTCTTCCTGCAATGTGAATGACAGGCGTCTGAGTGACCCCTGCCAGTTCCCCATGAAAAAGTGAGTTCTACTCTTACAAGATGTGAATGAGTTGAATTAATGATGTTGGACCAATAACGAAGAAAGTGCACTTTTTATTCCTTCATTAGGCATTCTTCTTCTACTTCTGCAAAACCCATGACTGGATGAGTGACTGTGGGCTGATCACCAAGGTGATTGATCTTGAGTAGAGCATCAGGAACAGGTAAGTTATACTCCTGCAATGTGAATGACAGACATCTCTGAGTGAACTAGGCCAGTTTCCCACGAAAAGGTGATTTCTTCTTTCGAGCCCCTGCTGGGACTCATCACATATGGTAGGAATGCAGGAAACGCGGTCACCGAAGATACCTACAATGACACCCGGGACGGTGGGAGGTGATCCGTGTGGCGGACGGCAGTTGCGAGGCATCGGGGGGGGGGCAATCAGCAGCAATAGGAAGGCTTCCTCATGGCCTGTTGGCTTCTGATGACTCACAGAACACAGGAGACACCCAGAGACCGAGAAATACAAAGAACCGACAAACAGCTGATGCACATTGTGGCAGAGGAAACGGTGGCAGAGGAAGTGGCAGAGGAAGGCCCAATGGAAGAGGAGGCGCAGGATTGTATTGACCAACCCATGGTTAGACCCAAGGTTCCGCAGACATGGAGTGCAGGGTGTGCAGACGAAGATCAACAAAACCAGAGAGCGAGGACTGGACAGACAGCCACAGGAGAATGGAGGTAAGCTCTTAGTAGCATTACTGGATCTAGGATGCCAATACCCCCTTGTGAAGGAACGTTTTTTTCAGGGGTGGATCGAGAGGCATTGAATGGAGGATGAGGAGGGGGAGTGGAGTTACTCCACAGGCCCTGGCCCCAGTACAATGGATACACTCTGGGAATGGTTTGGGGAGGCCAGCTTTGGTGATGCCCCATCCTGACAACCTTGGGTAACGGGACTTGAACCTCCTCATGGGTCATGGTAGGACACTGGGGTTACTAGCTCGGAAACCCGGTTCCATCTTGATAGTCCGAAGCTCCAAATGGACCAGGCACCCAGCCGAGCTATTAAATACCCGGTGCAATGGGACCAAGCTTTCTCCTTGGGGGAGGTTATTAGAGGAGCAAAGCAAGTGCCAAGTAAGGTGATGCCGGAGAGGGCACCAAACAAGGTGACTCAGGGGCCCCCACTGGGCTGTGCGAAGGGGGATAGAAGGGCTGCTGGTATGGTTAGACCACCAGGCTCGGCTCCGTTGTGGGCTCTGGGGATATGAGGCCCCCAGGCAGTCTGGGGCCCTCTGGCGATACAGGCCACATATGATGGAATCCTGGACCAAGTAGCCCTATTCCTCAATCAGGTGATAAACCACATGGACTTATATGGATGTTGGTACCCATCCCAGTGGGCGATGGTGATGGCTATTCCAGCAGTACTGACGGGGGAGGCAGCGGATTGGGTGGCTGGCCTGCACAGCAATCATGCATGAGAACTTACAGATTTGGGCCGGTTCCTGTAGGCTCTCCGCTCCCGGTTTGAGGACGAGTCATTCGCCATGCATGGGCGCTCCTGACTTGGTGACATCTCCTTGAAGGGGCCCCACACGCATTTGAGGTATGGACAGATCAGAAGAACCTGGAAGCCCTACAAACACCGAGGAGGTTGTTCCCAAAACAAGTAAGGTGGGCGCAGTATTTCCAACGATCCTCATTCCACCTAAAGTACATTCCAGCTGGGAAAAACTTCCTAGCTGATGCTTTGTCCCGTATGCCCCAATATAATAGTAAATGGGAGTAGGTAGTGAAAGCTCTCATACCATCCGGTCAGCCGTTGAAAGGCGTACTAGCTATTACTAAGCCAGACACCCCATTCCAGACCGAAATTGGCTGTACTGAGTAATCCTTGGCTAGTGAATAACCAGATTCTGGTAACTCACAGGGAGGGTTTGGCATGGAAAGGGGAAAAATTGTATATCCCCAACAGCCTCCAGACTGCTGTGTTGAAATGATGCCACGATGCCAAATCAGCTGGCCATTTTGGATTTTTGAAGACATTACATTTAGTAAGAAGGCAATTTTGATGGCCACAGATGCGGGTGGACACTGAGGATTATGTGAAGGGATGTCCTACATGTGCGTCAGCCAAACCAAGGTCAGGAAAACCCATAGGCCTATTACAACCAGTAGCTGATCCCAGTAGGCCATGGGATGAAATTGCTATGGATTTCATAGTCGATCTCCCTAGTAGTAACGGCTATATGGTGATATGGACGGTGGTGGATTTGTTCTCAAAGCAGACTCATTTCATGCCATATAAGGGCACACCTTCCTCCCGGCGACTAATGAGCCTGTTTCTTCAAAATATCTACCGCCTACATGGGGTACCCAGGAGCATCGTATCAGACTGGGGTGTTCAGCTCACCGCTAGGTTCTGGAGAGAGTTTGTATGTTTTATTGGATCCATCCAAGGGCTGAGTTTGGCGTTCCATCCCAGCACCAATGGAGCTGTTGAACGAGCCAATGCTATGGTGGTGGAGCCATTGCTGACGTGTTACGTGTCATACCAGCAATCAGTCTGGTCAAGCCTCTTACCTTTCGCGGAGGTGGCCTACAATAACGTGGTACACCACAGCACGGGCCTTTTCCTCTTCCAGATGGTGTATGGCATGGAATTCCTGGCGATCCCAGACCTAGAACCACATTTGCAAACCACAGAGACCCCATCTGGGTGGGCAGAAAAGATCTGCATAGTTTGGCCTAAGGTTAAAATAGCCTTACAGAAGGCCGCAGAAGAATACAAATTATACGCAGACAAGAAAAGGGCAGATCATAAACCGTTCCAGGTGGGAGACCGGGTCTACCTGTCAACCAAGTACCTGAAATTCAGAATACTGAGTAGGACACTGGGGCCAAAGTATTTGAGACCATTTAGCATAACCTGAGTGATCAATCCTTTCAGTTGCTCTAAAACTACCACCACTATTGGGTAAGATACAGCCTGTGTTTGACAGTAGTCTGTTGAAACCTGTAACAGCCGAAAGGACCAGTGACCCTCCTGACCCGCCGGGCCCGGTACATACTGATCACTATGAAATAGATAGGATTTTGGACTCCAGACTACATAGGGGAAATGTCTAATATTTAGTGCAATGGAAAGGATACCCATTCACTGATGTTACCTGGGTGGCGATGCCAGATATTCACGCCGCACGGTTACTAAGGCAGTTTCACTGCAAATACCAAGACAAGCCAAGTGGACTGGGGTATATCACTGACAAAACTGACCCCTCTGCTCTCTTTCTTACAGGTGGAACCATGTTGGAGAGGAGCTGCCTGTCGAGCCCCTGCCAGGATTCGTCACATATGGGAAGGATGGGGAAAACGCGATCACCAAAGATACCTACAATGACAACTGGGATGGTGGGAAGTGATCCGGGCAGCAGAAGACACTTGCAAGGCATCGGGAGGCAAACAGCAGCAATGGAAAGGCTTTGGGCTCCCCACATGGCCTGTCAGCTTCTGATGACATCATGGAACACAGGAGACACATGGAGGGCGGGAACTACAAAGAACTGACAAACAGCTGATGGGGGTTGGCTTTAGCTACCGGATGGTGGTTTAAACAGGAAATAATGTATAAATAGCGCTGAAAGGCGGCTGCTCTCAGTGCTGACTTTGAACCTATTACTCTACTTGTACTGTGATTCAGCTGTGTTCAGTGATTAAAAGCCTTGCAAACCATCTTCGTCTGCTGGTCTTTTGTGGAGCCGCACAGACTGGGAATTGACAAGCCGAGATCTACTCCTATATGATGCGAATGAGTTGAATTATTGATGTTGGACCAATAACCAAGAAAGGGCAATTTTTATTCCTTCATTAGGCATTCTTCTTTTATTTCTGCAATACCCATGACAGTAGATGACTGATTGTAGGCTCCACACCATGAAAAGGTGAGTTTTATGCCTACAATGGAGACGACAGGCAGCTGAGTGATCTTGCGTAGAGCGCCAGGAACAAGTAAATTCTCCTCCTCGAATATGGATGACAGGTGTCTGAGTGACCTACACCAGTTCCCCATGAAAATGTGGTTCTACTCTTACAAGGAAGTGAATTATTGATGTTGGAGTAATAACCAAGAAAGGACAATTATTATTCCTTCATTTGGCAACTGTTCTTTAGCAGGAAAAGGTGAATTTTAAGCTTCCAGTGGAGACAACAGGCAGCTGAGTGATCTTGCATAGACAGCCGGAAACCGGTAAATTCTCCTCTGGCAATATGGATCACAGGCGTTTGAGTGACCCAGGCCAGTTCCCCACGAGAAGGTGAGTACTACTCCTACAAGATGCGAACGAGTTGAATTAATGATGTTGGACCAATAACAAAGAAAGGGCAATTTTTATTCCTTCATTAGGCATTCTTCTTCTACTTCTGGAAAACCCATGACAGTGGATGAGAGACTGTGGGCTGATCACCAGGAAAAGGTGAGTTTTAATCTTCTAGTGGAGACAACAGGCAACTGAGTGATCTTGCATAGAGCGCCAGAAACAGGTAAATTCTTCTCCTGCAATACGGATCACAGGCGTCTGAGTGACCCAGGCCAGTTCCCCACGAAAAGGTGAGTTCTACTCCTACAAGATGCGAATGAGTTGAATTAATGATGTTGGACCAATAACCAAGAAAGACCAATTTTCATTCCTTCATTAGGCATTCTAATACTTCTGCAAAACCCATGACAGTGGATGAGTGACTATGGGATGATCACCAGGAAAAGGTGAGTTTTAAGGTTCCAGTGGAGACAACAGGCAGCTGAGTGATCTTGTGTAGAGCTCCAGAAACAGATAAGTTCTCCTCCTGCAATTTGAATGACAGGCATCTGACTGACCCCGGCCAGTTCCCCACGAAAAAGTGAGTTCTACTCTTACAAGATGTGAACGAGTTGAATTAATGATGTTGGACCAATAATGAAGAAAGGACAATTTTTATTCCTTCATTAGGCATTCTTCTTCTACTTCTGCAAAACTGATGACAGTGGATGAGTGACTGTTCACCTGGAAAAGGTGAGTTATACGCCTGCAGTGGTGACCACAGGCAGATGAGTGGTCTTGTGTGTAGCGCCAGAAACAGGTAAGTTCTCCTCCTGCAATTTGAATGACAGGAGTCTGAGTGACTGAGACCAGTTCCCCACGAGAAGGTGAGTTCTACTCCTACAAGATGCGAATGAGTTGAATTAATGTTGTTGGACTAATAACCAAGGAAGGACAATTTTTATTCCTTTATTAGGCATTCTGATAATTCTGCAAAACCCATGACAGTGGATGAGGACTGTGGGCTGATCACCTGGAGAAGGTGAGTTGCATGCCTACAGTGGAGATGAAAGGCAGCTGAGTGATCTTGCATAGAGCGCCAGGAACAGGTAAGTTCTCCTCTTGCAATACGGATCACAGGCGTCTGAGTAACCAGGCCAGTTCCCCATAAAAAGGTAAGTTCTATTCCTAAAAGATGCGAACGAGTTGAATTAATGATGTTGGACCAATAACAAAGAAAGGACCATTTTTATTCCTTCATTAGGTATTCCTCTGCAAAACCAATTACAGTGGATGAGTGACCTTGGGCAAATCACCTGGAAAAAGTGAGTTGTATGCCTACAGTGGAGACAAAAGGCAGCTGAGTGGTCTTGCATAGAGCGCCAGGAACAGGTAAGTTCACCTCGTGCAATTTGAATGACAGGAGTCTGAGTGACTGAGACCTATTCCCCACGAGAAGGTGAGTACTACTCCTACAAGATGCGAACGAGTTGAATTAATGATGTTGGACCAATAACAAAGAAAGGGCAATTTTTATTCCTTCATTAGGCATTCTTCTTCTACTTCTGGAAAACCCATGACAGTGGATGAGAGACTGTGGGCTGATCACCAGGAAAAGGTGAGTTTTAATCTTCTAGTGGAGACAACAGGCAACTGAGTGATCTTGCATAGAGCGCCAGAAACAGGTAAATTCTCCTCCTGCAATACGGATCACAGGCGTCTGAGTGACCCAGACCAGTTCCCCATAAAAAGGTAAGTTCTATTCCTAAAAGATGCAAACAAGTTGAATTAATAATGTTGGACCAATAATGAAGAAAGGACAATTTTTTTATATATATAACAAAATTTTATTGGTTTTATGAAATACATAATATTATAATTCTACTAGCAGTGTTTATACATATATTCAAGATATATACATGGTGTCTCTTAACTTACTTATTCTTTTTATTGATCACACCATCCTTTACTCCTTCCTTTATTTTATCATTAATCATTTATATCACCCTTCCCATACAGTATAGTATTATGAGTTTTCATCCTCATTTATCTCATGAGTTAATTTACTCATCTCCGCGCATTCAAATACTTTCCTAATTTTATGCTCTTGTGGTGGTAATCCCTTTTCTTTCCAGTATTGTGCATATATCAATCTGGCAGCTGTAGTGATGTGTATTATTAGATACTTCTTTTTTTTTCCGTAGGCCCTTTTTTGAATTCCCAGGAGGAATGTTTCCGGTGCCAATTCAATATCTTCTCCAATTATTTCTTGTATCCATTTCCGAATCTTACTCCAATATTTTTTCACTTCGGGGCATGTCCACCACATATGGAAGAAGGTACCCTGGCGGTGGCCACATTTCCAACAATTTGGATTTATATTTGGATAAATTTTTGCTTACTTTGAAGGAGCTAAGTGCCATCTATATACCATTTTATACTGGTTCTCTTTGTAAGCTGGTCAATTTATAGTTCTTTTCAATTTATAAATCTGGCCAATTTATAGTTCTTATTCCAGGTATCTTCCCAATCATTCAAATTTATGCTATGCCCAATGTTCTTCTCCCATGCAATCATTTGATTTTTGATTGTCTCTTCTACCCTATTGTATTCCAATAGATAATTGTATAGTTTGGCCAGCATTTTTTTCCCGTTCCCATCAAAATCTTGTCAAATCCGTTTGATCCTAATTCTATGCCGAATTCCTCCTTATCTTTTTGGTATCTAGACTTTATTTGTAGATATGGCCACCAGTCAATATTAATACCTTGTTCTCTCAAAGAGTCATTGGATTTGAGATTTCCTTCGCCATCTAGAATGTCCTTATATCTACACATTTTCTCCATTCCCAGCATATTGGGATATATCAAAGCCTCCATTGTAGAAAGCCATTTTTGGACTTTCATATACTGCCGCTGCCTGATCTCAGTCCATGTTTGTATTAGTGTGTCTCTGATTTTATGCCTATGGAAATAAGTTTTCTTTTTCTTCTCTTTATCCCATAAATACACATGCCACCCTCTCTGCAAGTCGTGACCTTCCAGGGTTAGGATCCTTTTGTTTTCTAGGGTTGCCCATTCCCTTATCCACACTAAATTGGCTGCCTTGTAATATATTTCCCAATTAGGAAGTCCAAAACCCCCATTATTCCTTTTTTCCTGTTAAATTCTGAGTGCAATCCTAGGCTCCCCTGCCCCCCAGACAAATTTCCTAATAATTTTATTTAGTTCCAAAAAATTTTTTTTAATCCAAATTTACCAGTATGGTTTGGTACAAATATAGTAATTTAGGCAGGATACTCATCTTAATCGAAACTATCTTGCCTAGGAGTGACAGCTGCAATTTCCCCCATCTCTCCAGGTCTTGTTTTATTTTCTTGATTAGGGATGCATAATTGTCTTCCTTTAGGGACAAACACCTTGGTGTTATCCAGATTCCTAGGTACTTTATTTTTTTAACAATTTGCAAACCCAGCCTTTTCTCTATCTCTTTCTTTTGCACCTCTGTTACATTCTTGGTCAATATTTTAGTTGTAGTTTTGTTCAATTTAAATCTTGATACTTTTGTCCTGTTTCTAAAGGGTCCTCCAAAATCAATGCTACATCATCCACGAATGCTTGCGCTTTATATATCTCTTTCCTAATCTTCAAGCCCTTAATTTCATCATTATTCCTGATTCTCCTTAGCAAGACTTCTAGTGCCAGAATGAACAGTAATGGTGACAGGGGGCATCCTGGTCTTACCCCCTTCCTAATCTGAAATGTTTAAGTCCTGTCTCCGTTTAATAGAATGCTCGCTCTTTGATTGTCATAGATAGTTTTATCATCCTTTCAAAATTTGTTCCAAATTCCATTTTCCTAATTTGTTTGATCATAAATTTACAATTTAGATTGTCGAATGCTTTCTGGGCATCTAAGAAGACTAAAGCCATCTGTTTGTCCGAATGCACTTCGTAGTATTCTAGAGTGTCCATCACTATTCTCAAATTATTTCTTATTTGCCTTCCAGGGAGAAATCCATTTTGATCCTTATGTATCAAGGTATTTAATATTTTTTTGATTCTTTCCGCCATTAAACTCATGAATATTTTGTAGTCCGTATTTAAAAGAGAGATTGGACTGTAATTTTGAATTTGTTTTGGATCGGTACCTTCTTTCAGCAGTAGTGTGACATACGCTTCCCTCCACGAATCTGGAATTTTGGCGCCTATCAACGCCTCATTACAAATTTCCACTAATTTTGGTAACAATATTTCTTCTAAATTTTTATATAATTCTCCTGGGAACCCATCCGGGCCTGGCGACTTGTTTTTAAATTTTGAAATTGCTATCCTTAGTTCCTCAGCTGTGACCTCTCTATTGAGCATTTCCCTTTCTTCCTCTGCTATCAGTGAAAGTTTCTCATTCGCCAGCTATTGCTCAATTTTCTCTTCTGGAATCTACTCCTCTTTATATAGGGCTGCATAATATTCCTGGGCAATTTCAAGCTTGTCCTCTTCTTTGTTTAACAAATTACCCTTCCTGTCCTCTAGTTGATATATAGCCCCTATTTTCCTTTTTTAATTTATACGACAACCATCTGCCTGGTTTGTTGGCATTTTCAAAATAGAAAGGATAATTTTTATTCCTTCATTAGGTATTCTTCTGCAAAACCCATGACAGTAGATGAGTGACCTTGGGCAAATCACCTGGAAAAGGTGAGTTGTATGCCTACAGTGGAGACAAAAGGCAGCTGAGTGGTCTTGCGTAGAGTGCCAGGAACAGGTAAGTTCTACTCCTGCCACATGGATGACAGGAGTCTGAGTGACTGAGACCAGGTCCCCACAAGAAGGTGAGTTCTATTCCTACAAGATGCGAATAAGTTGATTTAATGATGTTGGACCAATAATGAAGAAAGGGCAAATTTTATTCCTTTATTAGGCATTCTTCTTCTACTTCTGCAAAACCCATGACAGTGGATGAGTGACCATGGGCAGATCACCTAGAGTAGGTGAGTTGAATGCCAACAGTGGAGACGAAAGGCAGCTGAGTGGTCTTGCGTAGAGCACCAGGAACAGGTAAGTTCTCCTCCTGCAATACAGATCACAGGCATCTGAGTGACCCAGGCCAGTTCCCCATGAAAAGGTAAGTTCTATTCCTAACCCATGCGAACGAGTTGAATTAATGATGTTGGATCAATAACAAAGAAAGGGCAATTTTTATTCCTTCATTAGGCATTCTTCTACTTCTGCAAAACCCAAGATTGTGGATAAGTAACTGTGGGCTGATCACCAGGAAAAGGTGAGTTTTACGCCTACATTGGAGACGACAGGGAGACGAGTGGTCTTGTGTAGAGCGCTAGGAACAGGTAAGTTCTCCTCCTGCAATGTGAATGACAGGCATCTGAGTGACCTAAGCAAGTTCCCCATGAAAAGGTGAGTTCTACTCCACGACATGGACAGAAAGTGAAATAGTGATGTTGGTCCAATTACGAAGAAAGGACAATTTTTATTCCTTCATTAGGAAAGATGAGTTTTACATCTACAATGGAGATGACAGCCAGATGAGTGGTCTTGCGTTTAGCGCCAGGAACAGGTATGTTCCCCTCTTGCAATATAGGTGACAGGCGTCTGAGTGACTTAGGCCAGTTCTCCATGAAAAGGTGAGTTATACTCCTACAAGATTGAAACAAGTTGAATTCATGATGTTGGACCAATCACACAGAAAGGACAATTTTTATTCCGTCATTAGGCATTTTTCTTCTACTTCTGCAAAACCCACAACAGGGGATGAGTGACCTTGGGCTGAACACCAGGAAAAGGTGAGTTTTAAGCTTCCAGTGGAGACGACAGGCAGTTGAGTGATCTTCTTTAGAGAGCCAGGAACAGGTAAGTTCTCCTCCTGCAATACGGATCACAAGCGTCTGAGTGACCCAGGCCAGTTCCCCATGAAAAGGTAAATTCTACTCCTAGAAGATGCAAACGAGTTGAATTAATGATGTTGGACCAATAACGAAGAAAGGACAATTTTTATTCCTTCATTAGGCATTCTTCTTCTACTTCTGCAAAACCCATGATAGGGGATGAGTGACCTTGGGCAGATCACCTGGAGAAGGTGAGTTGTATGTCTACAGTGGAGACGAAAGGCAGCTGAGTGATCTTGTGTAGAGTGCCAGGAACAGGTAAGTTCTCCTCCTGAAATACGGATCACAGGCATCTGAGTGACCCAGGTCCGTTCCCCATGAAAAGGTAAATTCTACTCCTAGAAGATGCAAACGAGTTGAATTAATCATGTTGGACTAATAACTAAGGAAGGACAATTTTTATTGCTTCATTAGGCATTCTTTTACTTCTGCAAAACCCAAGATTGTGGATAAGTAACTGTGGGCTGATCACCAGGAAAAGGTGAGTTTTTCGCCTACATTGGAGACAACAGGGAGACGAGTGGTCTTGTGTAGAGCGCTAGGAACAGGTAAGTTCTCCTCCTGCAATGTGAATGACAGACATCTGAATGACCTAGGCCAGTTCCCCATGAAAAGGTGAGTTCTACTCCACGACATGGACAGGAAGTGAAATAGTGATGTTGGTCCAATTACGAAGAAAGGACAATTTTTATTCCTTCATTAGGAAAGATGAGTTTTACGCCTACAGTGGTGATGAAAGGCAGACGAGTGGTCTTGCGTAAAGCGCCAGAAACAGGTAAGTTCTCCTCCTGCAATACGCATCACAGGAGGCTGAGTGACCCAGGCCAGTTCCCCATGAAAAGGTAAGTTCTAATCCTAAAAGATGTGAACGAGTTGAATTAATGATGTTGGATCAATAACGAAGAAGGGACAATTTTTATTCCTTCATTAGGTATTCTTCTGCAAAACCCATGACTGTGGATGAGTGACCTTGGGCAAATCTCCTGGAAAAGGTGAGTTGTATGCGTACAGTGGAGATGAAAGGCAGACAAATGGTCTTGCGTAGAGCGCCAGAAACAGGTAAGTTCTCCCCCTGCAATATGGATCACAGGCGTCTGAGTGACCCAGGCCAGTTCCCCATGAAAAGGTAAGCTTACTCCTAAAAGATGCGAACGAGTTGAATTAATGATGTTGGTCCAATAACGAAGAAAGGACAATTTTGATTCCTTCATTAGGCATTCTTCTTCTACTTCTGCAAAACCCATGACAATGGATGAGTGACTGTGGGCCGATCACCAGGAAAAGATGAGTTTTATGCCTACAGTGGAGATGAAAGGCAGACAAATGGTCTTGCGTAGAGCGCCAGAAACAGGTAAGTTCTCCTCCTGCAATATGGATCACAGGTGTCTGAGTGACCCAGGCCAGTTCGCCATGAAAAGGTGAGTTCTACTCCTACAAGATGCGAATGAGTTGAATTCATGATGTTGGACCAATAACAAAGAAAGGACCATTTTTATCCCTTCATTAGGTATTCTTCTGCAAAACCCATGACAGTGGATGAGTGACCTTGCGCAAATCACCTGGAAAAGGTGAGTTGTATGCCTACAGTGGAGACAAAAGACACCTGAGTGGTCTTGTGTAGAAGGCCAGGAACAGGTAAGTTCTCCTTCTCCAATACGGATCACAGGAGTCTGAGTGACCCAGGCCAGTTCGCCATGAAAAGGTGAGTTCTACTCCTACAAGATGCGAATGAGTTGAATTCATGATGTTCGATTAATAAACAAGAAAGGCGGATTTCTATTCCTTCATTAGGCATTCTTCTTCTACTTCTACAAAACCAATGACAGTGGATGAGTGTCTGAAGGCTGATCAACAGGAATAGGTGACTTTTATGCCTACAGTGGTGATGAAAGGCAGACGAGTGGTCTTGCGTAAAGCGCCAGAAACAGGTAAGTTCTCCTCCTGCAATATGCATCACAGGAGGCTGAGTGACCCAGGCCAGTTCCCATGAAAAGGTAAGCTTACTCCTAAAAGATGCGAACGAGTTGAATTAATGATGTTGGTCCAATAACGAAGAAAGGACAATTTTGATTCCTTCATTAGGCATTCTTCTTCTACTTCTGCAAAACCCATGACAATGGATGAGTGACTGTGGGCCGATCACCAGGAAAAGATGAGTTTTATGCCTACAGTGGAGATGAAAGGCAGACAAATGGTCTTGCGTAGAGCGCCAGAAACAGGTAAGTTCTCCTCCTGCAATATGGATCACAGGTGTCTGAGTGACCCAGGCCAGTTCGCCATGAAAAGGTGAGTTCTACTCCTACAAGATGCGAATGAGTTGAATTCATGATGTTGGACCAATAACAAAGAAAGGACCATTTTTATCCCTTCATTAGGTATTCTTCTGCAAAACCCATGACAGTGGATGAGTGACCTTGCGCAAATCACCTGGAAAAGGTGAGTTGTATGCCTACAGTGGAGACAAAAGACACCTGAGTGGTCTTGTGTAGAAGGCCAGGAACAGGTAAGTTCTCCTTCTCCAATACGGATCACAGGAGTCTGAGTGACCCAGGCCAGTTCGCCATGAAAAGGTGAGTTCTACTCCTACAAGATGCGAATGAGTTGAATTCATGATGTTCGATTAATAAACAAGAAAGGCGGATTTCTATTCCTTCATTAGGCATTCTTCTTCTACTTCTACAAAACCAATGACAGTGGATGAGTGTCTGAAGGCTGATCAACAGGAATAGGTGACTTTTATGCCTACAGTGGTGATGAAAGGCAGACGAGTGGTCTTGCGTAAAGCGCCAGAAACAGGTAAGTTCTCCTCCTGCAATACGCATCACAGGAGGCTGAGTGACCCAGGCCAGTTCCCCATGAAAAGGTAAGTTCTACTCCTAAAAGATGTGAATGAGTTGAATTAATGATGTTGGACCAATAACGAAGAAGGGACAATTTTTATTCCTTCATTAGGTATTTTTCTGCAAAACCCATGACTGTGGATGAGTGACCTTCGGCAAATCTCCTGGAAAAGGTGAGTTGTATGCGTACAGTGGAGATGAAAGGCAGACAAATGGTCTTGCGTAGAGCGCCAGAAACAGGTAAGTTCTCCCCTGCAATATGGATCACAGGCGTCTGAGTGACCCAGGCCAGTTCCCCATGAAAAGGTAAGCTTACTCCTAAAAGATGCGAACGAGTTGAATTAATGATGTTGGACCAATAACGAAGAAAGGACAATTTTGATTCCTTCATTAGGCATTCTTCTTCTACTTCTGCAAAACCCATGACAATGGATGAGTGACTGTGGGCCAATCACCAGGAAAAGATGAGTTTTACGCCTACAGTGGAGATGAAAGGCAGACAAGTGGTCTTGCGTAGAGCGCCAGGAACAGGTAAGTTCACCTCGTGCAATTTGAATGACAGGCGTCTGAGTGACCTAGGCCAGTTCCCCACGAAAAGGTGAGTTCTACTCCTAAAAGATGTGAACAAGTTGAATTAATGATGTTGGACCAATAACGAAGAAGGGACAATTTTTATTCCTTCATTAGGTATTCTTCTGCAAAACCCATGACTGTGGATGAGTGACCTTGGGCAAATCTCCTGGAAAATGTGAGTTGTATGCGTACAGTGGAGATGAAAGGCAGACAAATGGTCTTGCGTAGAGCGCCAGAAACAGGTAAGTTCTCCCCCTGCAATACGGATCACAGGCATTTGAGTGACCCAGGCCAGTTCCCTATGAAAAGGTGAGTTCTACTCCTACAAGATGCGAATGAGTTGAATTAATGATGTTGGACCAATAACGAAGAAGGGACAATTTTTATTCCTTCATTAGGCATTCTTCTTCTACTTCTGCAAAACCCACGACAGGGGATGAGTGACTGTGGGCTGATCACCAGTAAAAAATGAGTTTTACACCTACAGTGGAGATGAAAGGCAGACGATTGTCTTGCATAGAGCGCCAGGAACAGGTAAGTTCTCCTCCTCCAATACGGATCACAGGTGTCTGAGTGACCCAGGCCAGTTCATCATGAAAAGGTGAGTTCTATTCCTAACACATGCAAACGAGTTCAATTAATGATGTTGGACCAATAACAAAGAAAGGACAATTTTTATCCCTTCATTAGGTATTCTTCTGCAAAACCCATGACAGTGGATGAGTGACCTTGGGCAAATCACCTGGAAAAGGTGAGTTGTATGCCTACAGTGGAGACAAAAGACACCTGAGTGGTCTTGTGTAGAAGGCCAGGAACAGGTAAGTTCTCCTTCTCCAATACGGATCACAGGAGTCTGAGTGACCCAGGCCAGTTCGCCATGAAAAGGTGAGTTCTACTCCCACAAGATGCGAATGAGTTGAATTCATGATGTTTGGTTAATAAACAAGAAAGGCGGATTTCTATTCCTTCATTAGGCATTCTTCTTCTACTTCTGCAAAACCGATGACAGTGGATGAGTGTCTGAAGGCTGATCCACAGGAATAGGTGACTTTTACGCCTACAGTGGTGATGAAAGGCAGACGAGTGGTCTTGCGTAAAGCGCCAGAAACAGGTAAGTTCTCCTCCTGCAATACGCATCACAGGAGGCTGAGTGACCCAGGCCAGTTCCCCATGAAAAGGTAAGTTCTACTCCTAAAAGATGTGAACGAGTTGAATTAATGATGTTGGATCAATAACGAAGAAGGGACAATTTTTATTCCTTCATTAGGTATTCTTCTGCAAAACCCATGACTGTGGATGAGTGACCTTGGGCAAATCTCCTGGAAAAGGTGAGTTGTATGCGTACAATGGAGATGAAAGGCAGACAAATGGTCTTGCGTAGAGCGCCAGAAACAGGTAAGTTCTCCCCCTGCAATATGGATCACAGGCGTCTGAGTGACCCAGGCCAGTTCCCCATGAAAAGGTAAGCTTACTCCTAAAAGATGCGAACGAGTTGAATTAATGATGTTGGTCCAATAACGAAGAAAGGACAATTTTGATTCCTTCATTAGGCATTCTTCTTCTACTTCTGCAAAACCCATGATAGTGGATGAGTGACTGTTGGCTGATCACCAGGAAAAGATGAGTTGTACGCCTACAGTGGAGACGACAGGCAAGTGAGTGATTTGCATAGAGCGCCAGAAACAGGTAAGTTCTCCTCCTGCAATACGGATCACAGGCATCTGAGTGACCCAGGCCAGTTCCCCATGAAAAGGTAAGCTTACTCCTAAAAGATGCGAACGAGTTGAATTAATGATGTTGGACCAATAACAAAGAAAGGGCAATTTTTATTCCTTCATTAGGCATTCTTCTACTTCTGCAAAACCCAAGATTGTGGATAAGTAACTGTGGGCTGATCACCAGGAAAAGGTGAGTTTTACGCCTACATTGGAGACGACAGGGAGACGAGTGGTCTTGTGTAGAGAGCCAGATACAGGTAAGTTCTCCTCCTGCAATGTGAATGACAGGCATCTGAGTGACCTAGTCCAGTTCCCCATGAAAAGGTGAGTTCTACTCCACGGATCACAGGCATTTGAGTGACCCAGGCCAGTTCCCTACAAAAAGGCGAGGTCTACTCCTACAAGATGCGAATGAGTTGAATTAATGATGTTGGACCAATAACTAAGAAAGGACAATTTTTATTCCTTCATTAGGCATTCTTCTTCTACTTCTGCAAAATCGATGACAGTGGATGAGTGACTGAGAGCTGATCCACAGGAATAGGTGACTTTTACGCCTACAGTGGTGATGAAAGTCAGACGAGTGGTCTTGCGTAGAGCACCAGAAATAGGTAAGTTCTCCTCCTGCAACATGGATCACAGGCATCTGAGTGACACAGGCTAGTTCCCCATGAAAAGGTAAGTTCTACTCCTAAAAGATTGAACGAGTGAATTAATGATGTTGGACCAATAACGAAGAAAGGAGAATATTTATTCCTTCATTAGGCATTCTTCTTCTACTTCTGCAAAACCCATGACAGTGGATGAGTGACCGTGGGCTGATCACCAGGAAAAGATGAGTTTTGAGCTTACAGTGGAGATGAAAGGCAGACAAGTGGTCTTGTGTAGATCACCAGAAACAGTAAATTCACCTCCTGCAATGTGAATGACAGCCGTCTGAGTGACCTAGGCCAGTTCCCCACGAAAAGGTGAGTTCTACTCCTAAAATATGCGAATGAGTTGAATTAATGATGTTGGATTAATAAACAAGAAAGGAGATTTCTATTCATTCATTAGGAATTCTTCTTCAACTTATGCAAAACCCATGAAAGTGGATGAGTGACTGAAGGTTGATTGACAGGAAAAGGTGAGTTTTAAGCTTCCAGTGGAGACGACAGGAAACTGAATGATCTTGCATAGAGCGCCAGAAACAGGTAAGTTCTCCTCCTCCAATACGGATCACAGGTGTCTGAGTGACCCAGGCCAGTCCCCCACGAAAAGGTGAGTTCTACAAGATGCGAACGAGTTGAATTCATGACTTTGCACCAATAATCAAGAAAGGATAATTTTTATTCGTTTATTAGGCATTCTGATACTTCTGCAAAACCCATGACAGTGGATGAGAGACTGTGGGCTGATCACCAGGAAAAGGTGAGTTTTAAGCTTCCAGTGGAGACGACAGGCAGATGAGTGGTCTTGCATAGAGCGCCAGAAACAGGTAAGTTCTCCTCCTTCAATACGGATCACAGGCGTTTGAGTGACCCAGGCCAGTTCCCCACGAAAACGTGAGTTCTACTTCTACAATATGCAAACGATTTGAATTAATGATGTTGGATTAATAAACAAGAAAGGCCGATTTCTATTCTTCTTTAACTTATGCAAAACCGATAACAGTGGATGAGTGTCTGAAGGTTGATCCACAGGAATAGGTAACTTTTACGCCTACAGCCTACAGTGGTGATGAAAGGCAGACGAGTGGTCTTGCGTAAAGCCCCAGAAACAGGTAAATTCTCCTCCTGCAATACGGATCACAGGCGACTGAGTGACCCAGGCCAGTTCCCCATAAAAAGGTAAGTTCTACTCCTAAAAGATGTGAACGAGTTGAATTAATGATGTTGGACCAATAACAAAGAAAGGACAATTTTTATTCCTTCATTAGGCATTCTTCTTCTACTTCTGCAAAACCCATGACAGTGCATGAGTGACTATGGGCTGATCACCAAGAAAAGGTGAGTTTTAAGGTTCCAGTGGAGATGACAGGCAGCTGAGTGGTCTTGCGTAGAGCGCCAGAAACAGGTAAGTTCTCCTCCTGCAATACGGATCACAGGCATTTGAGTGACCCAGGCCGGTTCCCTACAAAAAGGTGAGTTCTAATTAATGATGTTGGATCAATAACCAAGAAAGGACAATTATTATTCCTTCATTAGGCATTCTTCTTCTACTTTTGCAAAACACATGACAGTGGATGAGTGACTGTGGGCTGAACACCAGGAAAAGATGAGTTTTACGCCTACAGTGGAGATGAAAGTCAGACAAGTGGTCTTGCGTAGAGTGCCAGGAACAGGTAAGTTCACCTCGTGCAATTTGAATGACAGGCGTCTGAGTGACCCAGGCCAGTTCCCCACGAAAAGGTGAGTTCTACTCCTACAAGATGCAAACGAGTTGAATTCATGATGTTGCACCAATAACCAAGAACGGCCGATTTTCATTCCTTCATTAGGCATTCTAATACTTCTGCAAAACCCATTATAGTGGATGAGAGACTGGGCTGATCACCAGGAAAAGATAAGTTGTACGCCTACAGTGGAGACGACAGGCAAGTGAGTGATCTTGCATAGAGCGCCAGAAACAGGTAAGTTCTCCTCCTGCAATACGGATCACTGGCGTCTGAGTGACCCAGGCCAATTCCCACAAAAAGGTAAGTTCTATTCCTTACACATGCGAACGAGTTGAATTAATGTTGTTGGACCAATAACGAAGAAAGGACAATTTTTATTCCTTCATTAGGTATTCTTCTGCAAAACCCATGACAGTGGATATGTGACCTTGGGCAAATCACCTGGAAAAGGTGAGTTGTATGCGTACAGTGGAGACGAAAGGCAGATGAGTGGTCTTGCGTAGAGCACCAGGAACAGGTATGGTCTCCTCCTGCCACATGGATGACAGGAGTATGAGTGACCGAGGCCACTTCCTCACAAAAAGGTGAGTTCTAATCCACCACATGCACAGAAAGTGAATTAGTGATGTTGAACCAATAACTAAGAAAAGACAATTTTCATTCCTTCATTAGGCATTTTAATACTTCTGCAAAACCCATGACAGTGCAAGAGTGACTATGGGCTGATCACCAGGAAAAGGTGAGTTTTAAGGTTCCAATGGAGGTGACAGGCAGCCGAGTGGTCTTGCGTAGAGCGCCAGAAACAGGTAAGTTCTCCTCCTGAAATACGGATCACGGGCATTTGAGTGACCCAGGCCAGTTCCCTACGAAAAGGTGAGTTCTACTCCTACAAGATGCGAATGAGTTGAATTAATGATGTTGGACCAATGACTAAGAAAGGACTATTATTATTCCTTTATTAGGCGTTTTTCTACTTCTGCAAAAACCAAGACAGTGGATGAGTGACTTTTGGCTGATCACCAGGAAAAGGTGAGTTTTACACCTACAGTGGAGACAACAGGGAGGTGAATGGTCTTGTGTAGAGTGCCAGGAAGAGGTAATTTCTCATCCTGAAATACGGATCACAGGATTCTGATTGACCTAGGCCAGTTCCCCACGAAAAGGTGAGTTCTACTCCTACAAGATGCGAACGAGTTGAATTCATGATGTTACACCAATAACCAAGAAAGGACAATTTTTATTCCTTCATTAGGCATTCTAATACTTCTGCAAAACCCATGACAATGGATGAGTGACTGTGGGCTGATCAACAGGAAAAGGTAAATTTTAAGCTTCCAGTGAGTGATCTTGCATTGAGTGCCAGGAACAGGTAACTTCTCCTCCTGAAATACGGATCACAGGCATCTGAGTGACCCAGGCCAGTTGCCCACAAAAAGGTAAGTTCTGTTCCTAACACATGCGAACGAGTTGAATTAATGATGTTGGACCAATAACAAAGAAAGGGCAATTTTTATTCCTTCATTAGGCATTCTTCTACTTCTGCAAAACCCAAGATTGTGGATAAGTAACTGTGGGCTGATCACCAGGAAAAGGTGAGTTTTACGCCTACATTGGAGACGACAGGGAGACGAGTGGTCTTGTGTAGAGAGCCAGATACAGGTAAGTTCTCCTCCTGCAATGTGAATGACAGGCATCTGAGTGACCTAGTCCAGTTCCCCATGAAAAGGTGAGTTCTACTCCACGGATCACAGGCATTTGAGTGACCCAGGCCAGTTCCCTACAAAAAGGCGAGGTCTACTCCTACAAGATGCGAATGAGTTGAATTAATGATGTTGGACCAATAACTAAGAAAGGACAATTTTTATTCCTTCATTAGGCATTCTTCTTCTACTTCTGCAAAACCGATGACAGTGGATGAGTGACTGAGGGCTGATCCACAGGAATAGGTGAGTTTTACCCCTACAGTGGAGATGAAAGACAGATGAGTGGTCTTGCGTAGAGCGCCAGAAACTGGTAAGTTCTCCTCCTGCAATACAGATCACAGGCGTCTGAGTGACCCAAGCCAGTTCCCTACGAAAAGGTGAGTTCTACTCCTATAAGATGCAAATAATTTGAATTAATGATGTTGGATTAATAACCAAGAAAGCCCGATTTCTATTCCTTCATTAGGCATTCTTCTTCTACTTCTGCAAAACCCATGACAGTGGATGAGTGACTGTGGGCTGATCACCAGGAAAAGATGAGTTGTACGCCTACAGTGGAGACAACAGGCAAGTGAGTGATCTTGCATAGAATGCCAGAAACAGGTAAGTTCTCCTCCTGCAATACGGATCACTGGCATCTGAGTGACCCAGGTCAGTTCCCCACAAAAAGGTAAGTTCTATTCCTAACACATGCGAACGAGTTGAATTAATGATGTTGGACCAATAACGGAGAAAGGACAATTTTTATTCCTTCATTAGGCATTCTTCTTCTACTTCTGCAAAACAGATGACAGTGGATGAGTGACTGTGGGCTGATCACCAGGAAAAGATGAGTTTTACGCCTACAGTGGAGATGAAAGGCAGACAAATGGTCTTGCGTAGAGCACCAGAAACAGGTAAGTTCTCCATCTGCAATGTGAATGACAGGCATCTGAGTGACCCAGATCAGTTCCCCGTGAAAAGGTGAGTTCTACTCCTACAAGATGCGAATGAGTTGAATTCATGATGTTGCACCCATAACCAAGAAAGGACAATTTTCACTCGTTCATTAGGCATTCTTCTTCTACTTCTGCAAAACCCATGACAGTGGATGAGTGACTCACCAGAAAAGGTGAGTTTTACTCGTGTAGTAGAGAGGTAGTTGAGGTTTTTTTTGACAAGAGTCATAGTAAGTGTTGTGTTTTACCCTTGCTTTATGGATGATAGGTAGTTGAGTGAGTTTGGGCTTTTCCCTAGGAAAAGGTCAGTTCTATCCTTCAAACATGCAGAAAAGGTAAATTAGTAACATGGTCCAATAAGCAAGTGACAGTAATTTCTATTCCTGCAGTATGCAAGGAGACATCTTCTTCTGCAATACCCATGACAGCAGCTGAGTGAATTTGGGCTGATCTCTCCAAGAAAGATGTTTTTTACTTCTGTAGGAGAGACAAGAGGCATCTCAGTGGTCTTACTTGGAGCGCTAGGAAGAGGTAAGTTTTTCTCCTGCAATATGAATGACAGATGTCTGATCATGTTTACTTCCCAAGGAAATTGTGAGTTGTACTCCTGCAATATACATGACAGCCCGCCCATGAATATTGTATCAATAATCAAGATAAGGTAACTTACATTTCTGTAGTAGGCTTGGTGAGGTCTATTCCCGCAATTCCTAGGACATGCCAATGAGTTACTTTTGGAAGAAAACCTGGAAAAGGTGAGTTTTACTCCTGTGATATGAAAGACAGCAAGCTTAGTGAGATTGGTCAAATAAACAAGAAAGTTATTTCTATTCCTGCTGTAGGTATTGTGAGATCTACTCCTGCAGTTCTACAACAGGCTTCTGAGTGACTTTGTGCTGATTACCAGGAAAAGCTGAGTTCTCTTATTGCAATAGTGATGAAGGGCTACTGAGTGACTTTGGGTAGACTGCCAGTAAATCATAAGTTCTACTCCTCAGTGGCCTAATGACAGTGTATGAATAAAAAAAGTGATTGTAACTTCTATTTTTTCAATAGACATGTTGAGTTCTACTTCTGCAATTCCTATTACAGGTAGCTGAGTGACGTTGAGATGATCAGCTGGAAATGGTGAGTTCTACTCCTACAATACACATAACAGGTGGCTTAGTGACATTGGGCGAGTAACTGAGAGATGGTAACTTCTATTCCTGCAATAGGCATGGTGAGGTCTACTTCTGCAATACCCATGACAGGCCCTCAAGTGATATTGGGCAGATCATCAGGAGATGGTTAGTTTTATTCCTGCAATAAATATGACAAGAGGGTTAGTGTCATTGGACCAATAATCAATAATGGGCAACTTTTATTCCTGTAGTAGGCATGTTGAGTTCTACTCTTGCAATTCCTATTATAGGCCCACTTGTGACGTTGGGAAGATTAGCTGGAAAGAGTTTTTCTCCTACAATACGGATGACAGGCAGTCTATTGATATTGTACCAATAACCAAGTGATGGCAACCTCAATTCCTTCTATAGGCATGGATAGTTCTACTTCTGCAACACACATTGCAGCTGTCTCAGTAATTTTGAGGAAACTACAAGAAGGTGAGCTGTACTGCAATACACACCACAGGCAATTGGGTAACTTTGGGCTAATTACCAAGAAATGGTAACTTCTATTCCTGCTATAGGAATGATGAGTTCTACTCTTGCCATAACCATGGATAAGCAGTTGAGTGATTTTGGGCAGATCACTAGATAAAACTGGAAAACTATGTAAAAGCTGGAACATGACCACTGAAGTAAAAACAAGGATAGAGAAAACTTGAACAGTATTCTTCAAAATGAAAAAGGTCTTCTGTAGTCACAACATAAGCCTAAGATTGAAAATCAGGCTTGTCAGATGCTATATCTTTTCTATCCTGCTCTATGGAGTGGAGAGTTGGTCTCTGACAGAAAGCCACTTGAAGAGACTAGAAGCATTTGAAATGTGGATTTACAGACGGCTGTTACATATAAGTTGGGTTGACAAAATCAGAAATGAGGAGGTGATAAGCCACCTGGGAAAGCCAAGGGAAATAATCAAAACCATACAAAAGCGAAAGTTAGAATATTTTGGACATATGATGTGACACCTTGAAAAATACGGCATCCTTCACTTAATCCTCCAAGAAAAGATTGAAGGCAAACAAGGTCCAGGCAGACGAAGAACATCATGGCTTCAAAATCTAAAGGAGTGGTTTGGTCAAAACTCAGCAGCACTTTTTCACACGGCTGTCGATAAAAATAGGATCGCCAACATGATTGCCAACGTCCGATGACAGATATGGCACAACAACAAGAAGAAGACAGGTAAAAGTGAATTCTACTCCTGTAATATGCATGAGAGGTGGATTAATTACTTTGTGCCAATTATTCGAAAATGGTGAGTTCTAAGCCTACAATAATTATGACAGGAATCTGAATGACTTTGGGCAGATCACCAGGAGATGGTGTGTTTTACTCCTACAATACATACGACGGCTGGCTCAGTGACTTTGGATCAATCACCAGGAGATGGTGAGTTCTAATCCTTCAATAGGCATAGTGGGTTCTACTTCTGTAATACACATGGCAGGCGGCTTAGTGAATTTGGGCAGATCAATAGGAAAAGGTCAGTTTGTACCAATCATCAGGGGACAATGACTTCTATTCTTTCAATAGGCATGCTGAGTTCCAGTCCTCCAATACCCATGTTCAGTGGTTAAGTGAGATTTGTTCAATCAATAGGAGACAGTGGGTTCATCTCCTATAATATGCATGACAGGTGGCTGAATGACTTTGGGCAGATCACAAGAAGACGGTGAGTTCTACCCCTTCAATTTGCATGGCAGCTGGCTGAGTGTATTTGAGCCAATCAGTAGGAGATGGTGAGTTCAAATCCTGCAATATGTATGACAGACAGCTTTATGACTTTGGCCAGATCAGTAAAGGATGAGTTCTACTTCTGCAATACGCACAACAGTGACTGAGTGACTTTGGACCAATAACCAGGAAAAGGTGAGTTCTAATCCTCCATTAGGCATCAAAGCCTTCCTTCCTTCCTTCCTCCCTCCCTCCCTCCCTCCCTCCCTCCCTGTTTATTTCTCTCTTCCTCTTTCTCCTTTCTTCCTCCCTTTGGCAGCTCAGTGACTTTAGGCCAATCATTTTTTCTCAGCCCTAGGAAGGAGCCAATGGCAAATCACTTTTCAAAAACCAAGATGCCAAGAAAAAGTGCACAGATTTGTTCAGACAGTCTCTGAGAATTGGATCTAATTGAACAGAAGAAAAAAAGAGAGATGTGGATGATGAAGAGACCCTCCTCAGCATATCGTGTCCTGGCTAAGACCACAATGAGGGCTGGGCAGAAGCCCTTTTGGCCCCCCACACAGACCAACATCCCCTGTTGCATGATCTGAAGTCATCGACTGAAGTGGGACCCAAGCCATTTCAATGGGCGGTTGTTGAATGAGCCAGAACCACTTGATGCAGCATTGTATTAACCAACAAGCATAGAGTCCCCACAAGCCATGAATCTGAACCAAATTAATCTGGGCAAGCTGGTTGGGAATTCTGGGAGTTGAAGTCCCCACATCTTAAAGTCGCCAAGTTGGAGAAACACCAATTTAGAGTCTTCCCCAACTCCAGCTGGCTGCAGGCGGCTCATTTTCCCCAATGGAATAATGAAAATAAAAAAGAAATAAACTGACCATGAGCATCCAGGAGATCCTCAGAAATTCATAGCAATCTGTGAGGGCTTCTCTGCCACCCTGCCCCAAAAGCTGGCACTGAGCCCAGCTTTGTAAAGACCTGACCGGCTCACAGAAGAAGTCTACCTGGGATCATCATGATTCAGTTCATAATTTATTCCTAATAAATGTTGCCAGACAAATCATGATACCCAGTTACTCCTGAACCCCTTTCATTTTGGTTGCCAGCCTTCCCACTGGGCTCACCTCAAAGTCCTCTTTTGTATTTGAGCTTCTGTTTGTGTCCTCTGACCCAGGCCGGGTCCAGCTGTCTGCTGTCAGCAATTTCATAGACGGTGACGCACAGTTTGTCTGAGGCCCACTTCTTCAGATTAAGGGGATCCTCTCCTTTCCTATCTTGGCCCTTGGGGTGCCTGCTGATTGTGCACGTCGCTCAGTAAATGCTTCAGTTTGTGCTCCATGCAGCCCAGCTGATGGGCATATGAATGGAGGGCGGAGTTGATATCTGGTGGGCTGGACCCAAACTTGAGCTAGGCCAAGAAGAGGACCTGAGATTTATAGCCAGACGATTGGTCCCCGTCTTCTTCTGGATAGGATGTCTGGGCCTCCTGCACCAATGAAGGAGAATGAGGGGAGACCATCTTAATTAATTAACAAACAGTTGTAATTTCTCAATTAATGACCACTCTTGGTTTCTTCATTAATTAATTAGTGATCGGTTATAGTTTCTTCATTCATTAATGACCACTCATAATTACTTCCTTAATTAATCAATGACCAGTTATAGTTATTTCAATAATTAACAACCATAATGTCTTAATTAATTACCAGTTGGAGTTTTTCATTAATTAATGATCACACCAGTAATACTTTCTTCATTAATTAGTTACCAGTCATAATTACTTCATTAATTAATCAATGAACAATTGTATTTACCACATTAATCAATGACCACTCATAATGTCTTAATTAATGACCAGTTATAGTTTCTTCATTGATATATTAAGGACTAGCCATTGTTTCTTCTTTAATTAATTAATGACCAGTCATAGATTCTTCACTAATTAATGACCACTCATAATTTCTTATCCCCATTCCTGATCTATGGTATGTCCATCCTGCTTGCTTTTGTTCATGAATGGACCTCAAATTGCCACAAAAAGGTATTTGCACCCCATTAGGAACCCCCAAACAAGCCCACCCCTCCCAGCTCACATGAACCAATTTTATTAATTAAATTTTAATGGTGCCCATCTCATTGATACAACAGCTTTGGGTAGGTTACCATAAAATAAAAAGGTAAAAAAAAAAAAAGGTAATACAAAGGCAACTAAGTGAAGATGGTTAAAGAGAAAGCCATTTATTTGAGCATGTTGCACGGAGACTGTGGCTATGTCTTTCCCTGTCTTGGCTAAATGGGTTGTGCGAATCCAACCATTTGGGGATTCTTTGTCATCTCAAAGAACCATAAAATCCTAGGTCTTCTAGTCCAACCCTCTGCCCAAGCAGGAGACAAATCATTGTCGAGGAAACCTCCAGAGTTGGGGTACTCACAACTCCAAAAGGAAGGCTGATCTCTCTCTCCCCCCTGCATCATCTTATCTATCTCATATAATCACAGAATCATAGGGTTGGAAGCGACCTTGGAGATCTTCTAATCCAAGCCCGCTCAAGCAGGAGGCCTTGTACCATTCAGGACAAAGACTTTCCAATCTCTTACAATGGGACTAAAAAAGTGACTTACGAACATTTTTCACACTTACAACCACTGCAGTATCCCCATCGTCACATGATCAAACTTTGGATACTTGGCAAATGGTTCATATTTATGATGGTTGCATTTATGTGGCCCAAGGACACATGATCCCCTTTTGTGATCTTCTGACAAGCAGAGTCAATGGGGAAGCCAGACTGACTAATAATTGTGTGATTAACTTAATTAACTTAAACAGTTAATTCACTTAACAAGAAAAGTAATAAATTGGGGCAAAACTCAATTAGCAACTGCCTCACTTAGGAACAGAAATTTTGGGCTGAATTGCGGTCATAAGTCAAGGACTACCTTTACTCAGCCAGGTGACTGGAAGCCCAGTGATTGGATTCACACAACCCACTAGTGTGAATCAACTGGGTGTGTTGGTGAGGAGGGGGCAGAGGTGGGCATCACATAATGTAACCACCGGTTCACCCAGCACTAAAAATGTGAGCATGTGGCTTCAAAAAACCTTCCGTGCTTCAAAAACACAGCGACTACATAGGACGGGATAGTGCCAGGGCTGGTGGGTTGGCCCAGCCGCTGGTCCAGTAGTGGTATTCAGCCAATTCTATCCGCTTCGGGTGAACTGGTAGTGGTGGCTGCAGGAGGCTTTGCCCAGGGGTGGGTTCTACTTACCTTTATTACCATTCGCAATGGGGCCATATGCACAGAAGCATTTTCATGATGTCAGGGTCAGTGGGCGGGGCCTCCTGCTAGTTTTACTACCATTTCTATAGAACCAGTGCGAACCAGGGGCAACCCACCCCGGCTCTGCCCACGTTCACATTTGTGAACCGGTAGCGAAGGTAAGTGAATACCTCCCCTGCACTGGTCGGAACTATCGGTTCACCTAAACCAGTCCGAACTGGCAGCAACCCACCTCTGGCTTCACGGGGTCAGTTTAAGGGACCCAAGATGGCATCACTCTTCCCCTTGCTTCTCGCCAGTAATCAAGGGGGGGATGTACTCTGTCCATGCTTAAAGGAGCTTTCATCACAGCCACTAGCGCAGAGATTCCTTTCCTTTGGAAAACTGGAAGGACAGCAAAAAACGGACATCCAAAAGGCCTTCAAAGTTGCCCCGAATCCAGACAAAAATGAGGGAAGCAAGGCTGCAATGGTACAGACTGATGTGGAATCCATCGCGAAGGAGCACTTGTACTCAGCCAAGATGGCTGGCAGCCCCAAGGACAATAAAAAAAGGTGATGGGTGGATTGCTTGCATGAGGACATGTGAGCCATAGGTGAATGCCCTGCCGATGCTGCAGACCAGATGAAATGGCGGGCGAAAGGTAATGGGAATAATGCAGAGAACAACAACAACAAGAAGAAGCGCTTGAGTTTTCCTCTGCAAAACAAAATTATATATGTTTTTTTCTATCCTCTTTTAGCTTTGCCCCTTTCTCAGATTTGGTCCTTATTTTTCCCCAAGAAAATATGACCACGATACTTTGTAAGCTTGTACTTGATTTGTGCATTGTGTTTTAAGCAAAAACACATTTTTTTTAAATTTTAACCCAAAACACATTCATTTTTTTTAAAAAAAGAATGATTATTCAAGTAGATATTATTTCTAATGCATTTGGACAACTATTGTATTTTTTTACCTTTTGTACAAATGAGTTCCATATTTCGCTATATTGAATTAGATAACTATATATAGCATTTTAATTATTTATGTATTTATTTAATTTTTATGCCTCCCGTTCCCCTATAAGGCGACTGATCAAGTTAGAATTTTAACTATTTAGAGCTAAATGTTTAGACCTGATATTTTATACAGGAAGGCTTCGAATTCCGATTGTAATGGAGCCTGGTGGCACAGCAGACTAAAGCACTGTTAAGTAACACCAGCTGCCTGCAATTACTCCAAGTTCAAATCTCACCAGGCTCAAGGTTGACTCAGCCTTCCATCCTTTCGAGGTAGGTAAAATGAGGACCCAGATTGTGGGGGCAATAAGTTAACTTTGTATAAAAAAGAACACTGCTTGTGAGGGGGACGAAAGCCGTACTAAGCAGGTATATACAAAAGTATGAAGGCTATTGCTTAACGAATTGTAAGCCACCCTGAGTCTCCGGAAAAGGGTGGCATATAAATCGAACCAATAAATAAATAAACAATAAATAAATGACACAACTTGGGACTGGCATAAACAAAGTCATTCACATAATCGACCCAAAGATTGTTGGGATATTTTAAAAGGCTTTGCAGATGGGTTCCCAGCCAAGGCAACATTTTTAGATCGAGTCAGGTAAGGCCAAGTTTCCCAACTGGGGCCCTTAGAACCTATGTTTGTAATTTATTGGGCCACAATGTGGAAGTACTTCACATTTGCTTCTTCCAGGCAGAGTGGAGATCTCTTTGTGGTCTTCTTTCTCTTCCACAGCAGATTCAGACCAATTTTTTTAGAAGCCAGGTGATGGCTGCCATTCCTTTGCCACGCTAGGCGTGCGATGACCACTCAGTTCTCCAACCAGTCTTTGTGGAAAGCAGGCCACCATAGCCTCTGAGCGTGCACAAAGTTTATTTGCGCTCTCTCCTCCTGTCTCGCCTGCTGTACCTCTTAGATTTTTAAGTATTAATACAGTTGCCTCATAGTGGTGTTGTGAGGAAAATAGGATGCTTAGGTATGTTTGCTGCCCTGAGTTTTTATATATAAAACTATATATATATGTGTGTGTGTGTGTGTGTGTGTGTATGTATGTATGTATGTATGTATGTATATGTGTATATATATATATATATATACACACACACACACACATATATAAAACTATATATATAACTATAAAACTATATAGCTATATATAACTATATATGACTATATCTATAACTATATATATAATATATATAACTATATATATATATACACATACACATATTTATATATACACAAATACATACATACATACATACATACATACATATTATACACACACACAAACACACACACACACACACATGTCTCTGTCTGTCTGTCTGTCTGTCTGTCTGTCTGTCTGTCTATCTATCTATCTATCTATCTATCTATCTATCTATCTATCTATCTTCTGATTTGAAAGAAAAATAAGGAACGCTGAAGAAAAAACATCCTTCTCTTCTCTTTCCAGGTCTTTCCTCTTTCTTTTTATATTTGTATAATTTTCCATTGCAATGCAAGGGCTATGGTAATGTTAAGAAGTCTTATTTCCTTGTTGCTCCTGCAGGTTCACTTACTAATTTCGCACAATGCCTTCTGTGGTTCATTCTCCTGAAACAAGCATTTGCTATTTTTTCTCTCCTCTCCTCTGCCCACTCCACTCTTCTCAGCATGTGAATAACAGGTTGTGATGTTGCTCATAACTATCATTCTGAACCAGCACATTCAGCAAGTTTAATGTACCTTAACTTGACCAAGCATTTAGTGTAAAATACTTCCACCTTACTTATTGCTC